TACACTCTTTGAAGCAACTCGAGTACAACTAGCAACTCCGGATGACATTTTTGCTCAACAACTTTGAGAAACCACCAACAAAAGAAGTAATGTGCCTTTGTTACTACACAAAAACTCCTTGAACACAAAAACTCTTTGAAGCAACTTGAGTACAACCAGCAACTCCGGATGACATCTTTGCTCAACAACTTTGAGAAACCACCAACAAAAGTAATGTACCTTTGTTACTATACAAAAACTCCTTGAACCCTTGAACCAATAGATGGCTCGGACGAAACCCTCCAAGAACCAAAGGAAGGTTCGAATATTGCTCTCCCCAAAAACAAAAACTCTCTTATGCTTTTAAGAACACTAACTCTCAAAAATTCAGAATAAAGAGAAGAGTGTTTCTCTTATTTGTACCCTTGTGATCTCGACAGCAAGAACAAGAAGAAGAATGGACTAGAATGGTGTGAGAATTTTCGAAAAACATCACCCCTATTTACAGGCAATGCAAGTCTTTTTGTGCAAGAAAACCCTTACAAGATAGGGCCTAAATTTTCTCAAGAATATTTCCTCCTTAATTGATAAAGTTTCAGTCGACAAGATGGAATAAAAAGGAAGAAATTCGGCCAACATATATATAAAAGGATAGAGTCCTAAAACTAGGTAATCATAATCCCTTTTGGACACAACTTATGAACTATGTCATAAAATAATGAAAGATTCATCACTATTAATTAGGGACAAAAAATCCAACCCCCTACTACAAATAGGACTCAAAAACTCGCCAAAACACAAGCACAGTTGTATTAAAAGACTCGAAAATTTTCAGATTAAGATAAGACTTCCGTTTCTCAATAGTATTCGAAAATAGACTCATTTTAAAACTCTAATTATAATCTCACTGAAATTATAATTTAACTCATGTAAAATTAGTATTTAAATCCAAGTAGGACTCAAATAAAATACACAATAAAATTGTATTACCATTAGGAATCAAAGGCTGAAAAATTTCGGCCAATGTGAACACTCAAATCCAAGACCGAATAGGTCTCAAATCATAACACAATTTGGACTCAATGACCTTAATTTTAGGGATAAAATTTTCGGCCACGTGAACACACAAATACAAAACTGAATAGGTCTTCAAAGTGTAACACCAATAGACAACCAAAATTCAAGTTCAACTAGGACTAGGAAACCCTAACTTTTAGCTCAAAAATTCGGCTATACTATGACTCTAAAATTCAAAACCAACTAGGCTTAAAACTCCATATAAAGCACACGCACACACATGCATTATTTCAGCAAAAATTCGACATTTAATTTTTACCACATAGTTAAAATTTGAAAAATTACTTTTGACTCACTTTAAAAAGGAAACTTGGAAATTACCACTTTTCGAAATGTCCAACAACTTTTAGAATACTGTCTAAAAATCACTTTCCAAATTGTATATGGAATTAACAATAATTACTTTTTACCAAAATAATCTATGGCAAATGAAGTAACAAGAACACCATAAGTATAATGAAGTTGGAATTTAAAGTTCCTCATTCAACTATGACGTTTGCTTCATAATACTCAATTTAACACAAACCATTCATACGTCTAAATGACTCAACAAGGTCATCTTCATAAGTGATCATTTGAAAATCAAATTTTCCAAAGACCAAATATGTAAACTTCAAGAACATATCTCAAAGCCTATAAGATTTCTTGTTATATATACGAAAATTTTTAGTAAAACTTCACTCAATTCTCGATTCAACTCTCGAAAATTAAGGTTTTAAACGCAAGTCAAAGACTTCAACCCTTAAAGTTGGCACAATTCAACTTCAAAGACCTTTAAAGATTTGATAACAAAATTGATATCACTAAAATTCATTCTTCATCAAATGATAAAGAAAGTTTTGAAACTCAAGTTAAGAATCATGAAAAGTCCAATGCTAGGAAGATCCACTAATTCGACTCATTCTCAAAGTATAAACTCGAGAATACAAAAGAAACCGAAATTTGTTACTTTTGAAAATCTTTTGACACTAAGATTTAAACAAAGTAAAATAAACAACAAGATCGGAACTCTATGAAATTCTCATTGATTGAAAATCCATAAATTCCATTTTACTCATTAGATTCAAATAAGAACCAACAAGAAGGAAGACTTTTTCATTTATACTTTATGTAGAAAGTACAAAATCACTAAGCTTCACCTTTCAAAGAATAGATCCAAGATATTTACCACAAGATAAACTCTTAAACCCTCCTTATGTAAAGACATCTCTTTTAGAAAAAAAAGGCTATCTCGAGCAAGAAGCTCTTCTTTAGCATCAATTCTCTCCTTAAAGATTCAACATATATGATCCACTAACTTGCTCATAGGAGAAACAGTTCTCTACTTACAAATCAAGGATAAATTTCAAGATGTAGCACCCACTTTGACTAGATACCAATGTACCATCATCAAGCTCTCGCATAGACCCCAAAATAACACCACAAGATCAAACAAATGTGTAAGAAGTCTGCACAACCACACAAAAGACAAGATCAATTTTGAAAACGTAGTTTTTACAAGAATTTGATTTATTTTTTCAAAACCCATTCTGCAACAAGAAGGAACTTTGAAACAAATAAAGATAGTACTACTCTTTAGTAGCACAAAGCTCGATTACCACACCAAGAAACAGATTCTATGGTAACTCAAGATATTCTCGAAACCAAGAACTATGAAGTCCTCAATCAGAAAGAAATCTCTCGAAAATCAAACTGATACTAAAAATTGATATGATAATATAAATTAATACCATCACTTAGATAATTCAAGCTCTGATACCAAAAACTGATAGCAATCTTGTAGATGAAGCAAATTTCGTTAATGCAACCATCAAACAAGAAAGTACGAAGATAATTTGTCTATCCCGTGAAACTCAAAAGAGTGCAGAAAATTCACAGTAAGACGATCGTTTATCTAAGGATTTCTTCTATCTCTTAACTCAAACCAAGCAAAGAACACATAATCTATGAAAGATTCGAATTAAACAACAACCCACACTAAGAATAGTAAGGACACCATTCAATATACTCGATCAGTCATCATTTAAGAGACTCAAAAAAGATAGGAGCAAACAATGCTCAACTATGAAGGAATACTATTGACTAGTAATCTCCATAACCAACAAAGATATGCAACACATATACTATCTCAAAATGCTTACGCCAAAGCATAACTCATCCAACAAAAGTAGGACAAACCCCACAAAGGAACTCATGAACACACACATCATGAATTTGAAAACCATAGCCAAAAGAAAGGCTCAACTCTTGAACTACTAGAGGTAATATTAAAATAAGAAGTTTAGTTTTAAAACAATTCTATCAAGAAGTATACTTGAAAAAGAACGGTTTCTGCAAGATCAAAAGATCCAAGACAAGATGAAAACCCTCTTGGTTAAATCATACTTAACAAATGAAAAATGGACACACCATTTAACAAAAATTCCTCACAGGAAAAACACTCATTAGAGAAGACTCAAAATGACCACTCACGGGTGCTTTAACTTTCGGCCATACCCCCCTATTTATAGGCTAGCAATTTCGGCCAAAACACCAAAAATAAGACCAACTAGGACTCTCTAATCTTATCTCACGCAGGAGTAGAGTTAGAAGAGCATTTGATCTCTTGACTCTATCTAAAATCTAGGAAACCTTATCTAAATGACTTATCCTCAAATAGGATAATACTTAGAAGGAATCTAAGACTTCTAATCAAAACACTCTAGTTTAATTCAGTCCACATAACTTATTTAACTAGATAAAATTCGAAAATAAACTCCTGTACTAGATAATACTCTAATTCTCAAAATTCAGCTCCAAATATTGAAATAAAATGTCTTAAACGCCCCTTCTAAAAGTGGAATATTGGTCTTGCGCCCCTCAAGTTGTAAAAAACTTCAATTTACTCTAAAACTTGTAGAATTCTCTTTATTGACTCCAAAAGACTGGAAAAATACTTGAAAAAATTGAGATAGTTTGCACCCTATCCAATTGTGTAGCAATGGACTCAATCTTGATCAAATGGGCCGTCCATTCAAGAACCTAAATGACTCTTCTCTCTAGTTTGATCAATGATCTTCATGGAGCACCTAGAGTCAAATCCCCTTGATACTCTTGAACACTTATTTCCATGAGTGAATCATCGCCTTTAGTTTAAACCCCAAAGTTAATGACATTCTCATCATCTTGATCATAGCTCTCTTAAACCAACTTCCTATTACATAGGTAGTCAAGATTCATCCTTTCTTCCTTGATTGATTTGCAAAGTAAACTTGGCATCCTAAAACTAGAATGAAGGACTAGCTCATTTTCCTCACTAGGAGAACCACCATAAAAAGCTATATGATTCTCATCATTTCGTATGTCTTCAACTTTCGTTTATGCAACTGGTTTTAGATGCACATTCTGAAATTTAAACTCCAAATCTTCGTGAGTACATTCTCAACTCTCGCGCCTCCATTAGTAGGCAATTTACAGTGATTGATTATTATTCTCAACATTTATGTATTATCTTTATGGTTTAAACAGTTACTCTTTTGGGAAACTTTTATTTTGACAGGATCAAACAAAGTAATTAGGTGGAACAATTTTATTTTTTCCTTAAGGAAAAAAAGAAATCGAAATGAAAAACGACTGTTGAATTTCGACCTCATGTTGACAAAAAGTAGATCAAAAGTATAAAAATTGAGAGGAGTGGAATAAATATCGGCAAGCAAAGAGAACTAATTCCTAGGGGTTTCTACCCAAAGTCCAGTTTGTAGTTCACCTTAATTTATCCATACCTTTCATCTACCTGGATATTGCATATATGTACTTGAGAACATTTTTTCTGCCCATTAATTCCCGAAATTAAAGGCTTCAAGTTTTCTGAAATTTTCTATATATTAAAGCCATAAGTCTAATTTTGAAGATAGGAGATACCCAGAAGAGGCATTATCTTTTTTTTTTTTTTTTTTGTATATTTTCATAAACTAGCCTTAAGGGTCGTCATCTTCGCATATATATATATGTATAAATCCTGAGAAAGTATATGCCTTAACATTTTTGTCTATATATATACCTTTATCCGATCACCCTTCGTTATCAAAGAGATTTAGTCGTAAAGATGGGCAACACAGAAACAGCAAGAACTGCTGTTGGGGTTATTGGTTAGTTCTCTCTCTTCATCTACATGTAAATGATTCTTACTTTTATTAATTATTCCCTCTATCTCGAAAAAATAGTTTACATTAAATTTTATTATTCGCACTATTCTAGTACAAATTCACAAAATTTAAGTAATTTCTTTCCCATTTATATTATTGTCTCCGTCTAAGAAAACAAAAAAGTCTATTTATTACAGTGTTACTCTACACCGGACTTGTTATTATTACTCCCTCCATCTCAAAATTATTATCCAGTTTGGAATTTCTCTTTTAGTACAATTTGAACTAAAAATGAAAACCCAAACTGGACAATAATTTTAAGACGGAAGGAGTATTATTTTTTTTTTAAACAAAAGAGGTATAACCAAAAAGTTGCTTTTTTCCTTCTTCTAGGAAAATATTAACACATGCTTTTTGTGCGTGTAACTGTGAAGGTTAAACCTAGAATGCGGATCTTGCAATAAGCGTTTCCTTTTAACAGCATCATCAAAATCACCTATAAATCCATAAAACAATTATACAGTTGTTAATTTAATCTGTGCAAATTTTATATAGCTCGATCATTGTACCAACTTCTAACTCTATCTTCCGGAACAATGCAGGAAATGTCATATCATTCGGCCTGTTTCTCTCTCCAGTGTATTTTCCCTTCCCATCCTCTTCATGCTATATGTTTTTGTCTTGATTTACAAAAGAAAATATCATAACTTTGTCGAATAAAAAAATCAATAGTGTGTGAAAAATCTGATTTGACACTCCCTCCATCCAAAAAAATAGTCCACTTTGAGTTTTGAAATTTGTACTAAAAACAGTACAAAAATAAAAACTCAATATGGACTATTTTTTTGGGGACGGAGGTAGTATTATTTATTATAAAGGTAGGAGCTCTTTAAACCGTAAATTACACTTATAGAGATATGTATACAGTATACACTAGCTAACACATTGTGAGATTGTCAAAATCATCAAAGACTGGAAGTTAATTGAATCTTCAAACGAAAAATATACTTAGTGAAATTACTGTATAAAAGTAACAGATTGTGATACGAATATAAAATATAAAGTTTCGATCTCACATTTTCTTTTTCTTTTTCTTTTCCCCCCAAAATTGTTTGATGTGTGGATGGCAGCCCAACGTTTGTGAAAATATGGAAGCAGAAGTCAGTTCAAGCATTCAAGCCAGACCCATATGTTGCAACATTCCTCAACTGTTTGTTATGGGTATTTTATGGGATGCCATTTGTGAAGCCTGATAGCCTTTTGGTGCTCAGTATCAATGCTGTTGGTCTTGTCATTGAGTCCATCTATATTGCCATTTTTATCCTCCACTCTGACTGGCCTAAACGAGTACGTTCACAAAAGTCGATGGAATTTCTCATTCACGAAAGGTGATAATTTTCTTTTACTAATTCTTCTTTTTTGTGTGTGTACGTGTTTTTCTTTTTCTTTTTTTTTTCTTTTTTTGGTAACAGAGGAAGATTTTCATTGCACTCTCTGTGGAGGTTATCTTCTATGCAATTATTGTAGTTATTAGCATGATCGCTCTCCATGGCAATGGGAGAATTAATTTCGTTGGAATACTTTGCCTCATTTTCAACATTATTATGTACGCCTCTCCATTGACCGTCATGGTATGGATTCTAAATCCCATTCTCTCTTTGATTTCCCCATTTTTGGCAAGAGTGGAATGCTAAGTAACACCATTTGATAGTGAAATAAGCGGAGAAAAGTAATTTTGAATACTCATTTTCGACAAGATTATAATCACTAAAATCGTTTAAAAACAGTTACAAGTAGTAATTTTCTTATTATGAAACGGATAAAGTATTGATTAGGCAATAGTGTCCGTAAATCATTAGCTTCAAGAATAAGTTTATAGGCTAATTGCTACTTCGAATTTGTGCCCATTAATTTGACCCATTTTTTATTCCTCTTATATCTGTGCAGCGTCGGGTGATCACCACGAAGAGTGTGAAATTCATGCCCTTCTATCTATCCCTAGCTAACTTTGCTAACGGTTCTATTTGGTTCTCTTATGCTTTTCTCAAATTCGATCCCTGGGTCCTGGTAAGTTGTAATTCTTATTTTCTGACTAATTGAGTTAAAATTTAACCAAAGATTTAACTTTTTTTTTTCCCTTTCCCATTTTGGGTTCATAGTTATGGTGCGATACATTTTAGTTGCATTTTGTGACGTAAGTAAATATGTGGTACGTAAGTTCATCATATAACAATTGTCACATTTTAGAAATCAAACTTATCGGTAGTATTATACTTTTATATAGCAATAACAATTCAATTAAACTTGCCCTATTTTTTCAATTCATATTTACTCTTTTTGATTTCATCAGTCAATGTCAATTAGAAGGAATAATTCTAACCAAGTTTTAAAAACATATGTAAAATGAGCTTTGCCCATTTTAAAAAATTCTTTCCAAAAGCGTAAATAGCATGAAGAAATAAAATCAGTATGCTACATTTTTTTTCTTTTAAAATTTATCACATTAGCAATTATTCTATTTCACTTTAACTTTTCATTTAGCCTTTTTTTTCCTTAAATATTCTCTGTGTCACAAAACGGTGTTTCTATAATGAAAATACTTGAAGGGAAAAAAGGGAAAAAAAAAAAAAAGTTTCTTTACATGATAAAGTGATTAGTTGATATTTAGTTAATCTTGCTTTTGACCTAAACTTTTTATTATCATTTCCCAAACTTTTATCATACAGATTCCCAATGGTCTGGGAGCACTTTCTGGTGCGATTCAGCTAATACTCTATGCTACATATTATCGGACAACAAATTGGGACGAAGAAGAGAATCCAAGTCAAGTAGAAATGTCGGACAGTGGCAACCATGTTTAAGAAACATAAGTTCTTTTCTTGTTTGTTTTTATGCTCACGTCAATTTTTGGGGAGCAGCGGAATTAAACAAGTGGATTCATTAAAGGGAGGAAGAATTGGGCATTATTTATGTAATAACACAAGTTCTTCTTTTCCTGACTATTATGCTATGTTAATTACTATTGTATCGAGGTTGTATTGCTTCCTTTCTAATAAGTGTACGTACAATTCTTTTGCCACAATCATAGTAATTCAGAAGGTTTGTTTTCTGTTGATGATGATTTACTTTGAGATCAATTTTGTTGTTTTACTTTATTAACTTAATGTTCACTTTGCACTTTGGAAAAGTTTAGGGCTTTGGTTTTGTTGTACAGATCCTCTCTCTCTCTCGAGCTTTCTTCAACCTAATCAATGGGGGATAGTAATTATTTTGCTCCTAGTTTGATATTGGCAAAGAGGTATATTTGAAGTAAATTCTAACTAGATATAACACGTGTACCCACGGACACCCAAGTTATTTTTTTGTGGTCCGACCGGTGTCATTTATATAATTATTGATTCTAGATGTTTGAGATCCAAATAAATAGTCTGATTAGAAATATAAATCTTAAAGTTAGAGTAAGGAAATAAGTATAGTCTAAAATAGATTATTAACATAAAAATTGCAATGAAACTTTATTCAATTTGTACGTTTAATTTTTCACTTTTGCAAGATCAATACATTTAACAAATTATAGAAAAATGATCAATTTAACAGACAAAAAGGAATACAATAAGCAATATCCACGTACTTTGTCTCTAATTAATTGTAAATTATAGAACATAAAATATGATTATAGAATCTCATCTTTAACTCGAACCATTATACATTAGGATAGATGAAATTTAATAATCTGATTAAATTAAATTGCAATAAGATTCATTTAAGTTAAATAAATTCAGAATTAACGTGAATTAAATTAATTTAAGGCAACAAACAAATGTCTTAATTTTTTTTTTGCGTGTCCGATGTTCACATTTAATAAAGGTTTTTTTTTTTCGTTTAATAAAGGTACATTTGAATTAGACATATGAATAAATATTATGAAGTTCCATAGCTGAAGAATACTTATTTAAATTTGGAAAGTATTTTTACGATAGGTTATGAAAGTATTGATACTACTATTTTTATTTTTTTAAACCAAGCCCGAGGAAATAAAACATAAAGCATTTATCAACAGTAACAGTTTTTTTAGCCGATTATATTCCAACGCTTATATAATGAATTAGAATGCAAATGTACGCCAATGCCATATACATTCTCTCTAATGGAAAACTGTTAATTGTAATTGTACATTAATGGAGAAAAGGCAACTAATAGTCGGATGACAAATGAATAAGGCAAGGAGCCTTCATTAACGAAGTTATGAACCAAAAAAAAAAAAAAAAAATTATGGTCGGATGGACTATATCGAGTATTATTTCGAAGGAATGTACTGGACGATGGATTTGCTACCAGTTGGCGGCGGTACGTTACATTACCTGATAGACATATGTTAGAATAATTCGATCAAGTTAATGAAGAAAATTGTTTGCATATAACAACAATATGAGTATTATTTCGAAGGAATGTCTTAATTTTTTCCCTTCTTTGCCCAATTCTTTCTTCCCAACTACCAGTTTCTCAAACTCAAAAATTTCAAATTTTTTCACTATCACCTTTCTTAACTCTCTACTTTACATTTTCACCTCACAAAAATTTAGAACCCTATTTGATTTACCTTATGCATTTTTTCACGTCTATAAGAAAAATTTAAACAACAAAAAGACATTTTTGTTCTTCGAATGTCCTCACTATTTTAATTTTTTTGTTGACGTAATAAATATAGATAATGTAAACTAAAATAAAGTTTGGAAAAATTTGTCTAGTAAAAATGTCAATGAGAGATTAAAAGATGAATATTCAGAAATACAAAATTTTCTAATTTGAGAAAGTGGTTAGTTGGGTAAAAGTAAAGCATCAGAGCGAAAAACATAAAATAAATCTGAACAAATTTTGCGAATGTAATTTTATTAAAATAAATTATTAGGGATAGCTAATTTAATGTAATATTATTTATTAAAATTTGTATTATTATTCTAGACTTGTTTCTATAGTGCATTATTATTTAATAATTCTAAGAGTAAAATGGTAAAAGATGATAGTTGGTTTGGTATTAGGCCAATGAAATAAAAAAAATTAATACAAATATACAATATAAAATTTGTCATCCAACCAGATCTAACTATATAAAAATATTATGTAAAATTATTACATTGTTTATCCTATTCTCTCTCATTTTTAATGCAAACAAACTAAAAATATCCCTAAATATTTACTTATTTATTTTCTTCGAATTAATTTTTTTAAAATTTTTTTATGGGCCAACGGAATAAGTTATGAAATGTTAATTTTTGGTTTAGTATATGGCCAGCAGCATAAAAAAAAATAATGAGAAGAAAATAAATAAATTTTTAAGGATACTTTAGCTGCTGTAAAACTAAGAAAGAATAAGATTAACAATTTAGTAAATTTTATATCTTTTGATAGTAAGATTTAATTTATAAATAAAAATAAATAGGGTAAAATTGAAAAAATAATTTACTAAAATTAAACTTGGTTGAATTGCAAAATTTCGGACAAAATTGATAAAATTATAAAATATTAGAGAAAAAATATAATTTTCCTTTCTTAAAAAATAACAAATTCAGATTTCTCCAGGTGATCGAATTCGGCAAAAACGACTGATTTTGGAAAAAAAATAAATTAGGTACCAAAATTGAATCAGAAAATATTTTAGAAACTAAAATGATCAGACGTCCTATAATTATAGCAAGAACCACTTTACAACTTTAAGATAAAAGCATGCAGTAGATTCTCACGAGTCTGGTGTGGCTTTGTTTTTTTGGGTTTATTATGCCTTCTTTAACTAAGTTTAGTGTTCAATGCCTCAACTTCGTTTATACAAACCACCAAATCAAACACCAACTATACAACAAGAAGCTTTCAAAGCATACTTCCTCGCAAAGACAGCATCAAAATGGAACATGACAGTTTATTTACTGCATCAAAATGGACAAAAATGGATATATTTAGAGAATGACTCATTTACATTTAAGCGATCGAGGATGTTTTCACAATATTCTAACTTTAGTGATTAAGTAGTTAGAAAAGCGTTTCACTGTATAAGTTGGTACCTTCAACATGCTTTACTAATTAATTGAAGTGGTTAGAGAAAAACGTTTTAGTGTATGTTCAAATAATATAACTTCAATAATCTTTAACTCGATGATTCTTTTTCTGGTGAAAAAGGTAAATATATATAATTAGATCATCACCAAAAAGTACAATACATGGCTTCTTTCCTGCTGCTACTCTTCTAGCAGCTACAAAACTTCAAATTTGTTAATTTTGCTGTATTAAACATTCCATCAAATCTACATATTGAATTTGTAAAAAGTCATGTCACGTTTCAGACACCAAAGAAATTTATTTGTTGCATTATGCTTTCTTCTGTCCTTGTTGCCTTCCTTCCTTTCCAGTGCAGAAATCTTCGCTTCACCTCTCTTTGTATCAGACTCCCAGGCTCTCTTTCTCTGCTCAAATTGTCTTAAATTCCCATAAGTGATAGATGCATGCACAGAACACAGCCCAAAGAATTGCCCTTTTCAGTTTAGCTCATTTCCACATATTCATGATTTGTTTCTTCCATCTGGCATCATCCACAAAAAACCTTCTACATCCAAGTCAAGCCATGGCTTTATCTATTAGTTCTAAATAACATATGGTCCACGGTTTCATATTCAGTTTTACACAGCAAGCAAACAGGATCCTGGATCATCATCACTCCTCAATTTTATTGCTCTGGGATATAAATACTTTCACTTCTTTCTTTCTTTGATAATGTACTCCACATGAAATATGATTATGAAGCCTAAAATATTGAACCAATACACTATGGATACACTATGAAGTATTTTGTTGATGCAAAAACATCTGAAAAGATAAACTTCGTAAACCCAAATAAAAAAGACTATGGAAATGATGAAGACATTTTCTGACTCTGATAACCTTCCTAGACCATTCTGAGGGAAGAAAACACTGAAGCATGATCACAACAAGATATCGAGAATAATGATTCAGGAAGATGTGAAAACTGACAGTTATTGGAGCCTTGACACTAAATTCTTGAACGATTGTGACAAAAACTCTGCAACACTTGTGGCTCCAGAGCCAGAGAGCAAAGCATCGGTTGCAAGTTGGATGACTGTAAAAGACCAATAGTATACGCATGCCGCAATTGATTTTGCTTTCATGCTTCAAGATCAACAAACTCTCCCCTGAACAGTTCATTTCTTTCACATGAATGTTTTCCTTTCCAGATTGAATAGACTTCTAGCAGATAGGTAAAATCAGTATCTTACATTTACTTCGGAGAAAGCATGAACAGTTGACTTTTCCCATCCTTATCTGATTCTTCATCTACATGAGATCTTGGAGTCACTTTAATGTCCACCTGTAAAATGAAGGCAACTTCAAGAATTAGCAACAAAAATGTAATCTTGTGAATGCAATTGCTTCCAATGCTCGAAGAGATTTGAATTTGACTGATGATTACAAATAGAACAGCAGGGCTATACAGAGAGAAAAACAAACACAATTGTTTTACTAAAATTTTTAATAGATGCTGTGATTTTGAGGTTGATACAGTCACCAATTTGTCATGAACTTCAGTGATTAGTATAAGTCAGCTAATAACTCCTGCTATGAGTCCAGAGACTTCAAACAAAAATATAAGTAGGAATCTTAAATTTTCAAAGATCCGGCTTTAAACTGCAGATGGCACATTCAAAATGAGCACACAAATTTCCGAGTTGTAAATGCACGCAAGTGCAATATGAAAAAAAGAAACACATTCAGAGAGCAAACTTCAAACCATATCAAAAAAGTCACATTTGCAAAAAAAGAAACACAATTCGAAGTCCTTTTAATGAGAAACATGCAGGAAAAGTTTAGAGAAGAAGGCCAATTGATGAAGTACCACAGATTGCTGTGACTTATAGCGGCTAGATAGCTTTTCGATCTTTCACAATGATCATAATAATCTTGCAGGATTCCTAGGTAGTGACTAAAAACATACACATCAATTTAAAATAAGGCAGTCATTCCAAACACAAAAATGTTCAGTAAAATTCATAGCTAAACTCATACAGGAAAACATAACATACTACAGTTTATCAGCTTATCAACCAGTTGCATCCCAAGTAACAAATGAAGTAGTACCAATACCACCATGAACATTGCTTCATTGACATTTGACTTTTATTGCACACAATAATGTGATAGCAAAAAGAAAATTTAGGCTCCAAAGCCCCAAAAAAGGGGAAAAAAAGAGAAAGAAAATAAAGGATTCAAGATCCTACCTTTGCAAAAGCTGATCTCGAACAACTAAGAAATAAGACCAGAAAAACTATCAGGAGCATAGCATTAATCTTGCCAAGAAGATGATATCCGCAGCTCCATCATCAACCGGCAGAACTCGAACTGGATGCAAAGAAGAGATATCAACCCTCAGTAGACTAAAACAGATCCAACCCACTTCAAATCAATTTGACTTTCTAAAATTTAATTCTAAATTGAAGTAAAGTCCCACTGAAGAAAAACCTAACAATACATTCACCTCTAGAAACATACACGAGCATCTTACATTCCTGAAAATACGACACCTAGAAGAATCATGATTATTACTATGTCAGAATCAAAAGAACGTGATTATTAATAAGAGTAGTAGTGGCGGCAATATACTAAATGCAAAGCAACAACTCAGAAGAGTTCCAATGATTTTTGAATAGATTAGAAAACAAAATAGAGCTTTATAAAATAGTTGAATCATCACTAATGATTTCCAACCAACATACTTTGGAAAAGCAAAGAACAGAGAAACCAACCCCCGTGATAAGTCCTCTCCATTGTGATGATGGTCATTGCTAGACGGATCTGTCAAGTGAAAGAAAAAAGGTTTTATAAATCAATTTACTTCTTCCTTTCAATAAACAAAGGAATCAATTTAATTGACAGAAGAAGCAATTCACAAGTCCGAAGTCGTAGCATAGATCCTGCCGCATCATACTAAGCAAAATTAATAACAATAATAAGCATCAAGTCTCGCAGTAGCAAGATAAAGATGAAGAACTCACGGTTGGAAATTTGAAGTAACAAACTTCGGAAGTAGAAAAATCAATAGCAAGGCTGAGAAGTGAGTTGCTGGGCGCCACGAGGCAATCAGTCATTTACCATTTTATCTGCCATAGTCATTCACCATTTTATCAACGTTAATGAATTAATGTCTGTGAAGGAATCAATTATTGTAAGAAACATGAAACACCAAATATATTTAATAAATAAGTCTAGTCTTCACATTTCCTTTTGTATACTCATATATCATAAGAAAACTTCAGCTACTACAGAGGAGTAGACAATAATCATTGGCGGAAAGACAAAGTGGCATGGCTAGACATTTAGTACTTTACAATGAGCTTTGGAACATATCCTTTTCTGTTATTCTGATCCCTAAGTATTGAGAAACCGGCTGAAAATCCAATTTTTAAATCATCTTTTTAAACATTTGTATGGCTTCATTCTGCAGAAGCAATAGAAAAGAAAGAGTTGAATTCTCTGTCTCTTGCTCAACTATGAACTGGACCATTTTTTTCAACTGCAGAAACCCACATATAAAAGAAAAGGAGAAATAGTAAAATTAAGAGAGAATCATGAGATTAAATACCAGAAGGCAGTGGCAATAGAGAACCAGGAGAAATAACCGTAACCCAAGAGAAGAAGCAGCAAAGAAACATTGTCCTAGCCTCAAGATCATCCCACTCACCCTTTCCTGGGATACCAAATTTAATGTACCATATATAGATGTGATATATAGAAAAGCAGATCACTAACAATCTGATTTCTGGATGAGATCTTGTCAAGAAGAACTAATGCTTGAACTCCCACATTAAAGCTCTTCGAATGAACCTAGTAAATTTAACAAGGATGAATGATCATTTTTCAAACTAAAATCTTGGGTAATGGGGCAAGTTATTCGACTGAACTTTTTATATGTCAGGTTAACAATTTATTTACAAGCTGGAACAAGATTGGTGTCTAAACTGCAATGATCTCTTCCGATTCGTCATTTGAAACAAAAGGAAATGCTCTATTTACACCCTGCATAGGAAAGGAACAGCATAATGGATGCTTTTATTACTTATTATTTAACATAAGGTTGATCACGTTTGAATGATTTCCTTGATTTCCTCGAGTAAAATCTCTCAAACACGTTACTAAAAGTAAAAAGGGGGCAGAAGGAAAGTATATTTACATACTGTCAAAAGGGCTGTTAACAACTGAGAATCCATCTCATCATGAGATTCTGATGGAGTATCTGCTTTGATTTTCTTAGAACTGGAAGCTTTGGGATGTTTCTCTTTACTGTCTTTCCCACTTTCCCCATTGGAGTTGGAAATCAGTATCTGAAACAGTGATTCATTATTAATAGTCAGCTTTTTGTATTGATAATTATCATTATGAATAGATGCCAAAGACAACAAGACATTAGTACTAACTCATCAATTTTAAAACCCAAGTGTTTAAACTGGGGGGAAAATAAGAAAAGAAAAGCAAAGCTTTCTAAATATACCTTAAAAAGTGCAAAATACACATAAACCAAACGCTTTGCCACTTTTGGTCCATCTCCCGTGTGACTCAAACGGACTTGGGCAAGAAAGTTAACCTATAAATAACAGGATTAGACTATCAAGTTCAATTAAAGAGCACAAAAGATAGAGGAACACTACCTGAAAAACTAAATCTTGTAATGCTACTACTGCTAAATTATAATGAGTAAGTTAATAAAATCGCTGATAACAAACAGTTGCTAAATTACTTTTAAAAAGTTAAAAATACTAAAAATATTGAATGTAAATGTGCTTGTAAATTGTCTGACCCACATAAACATCACCATAATGGTAGGAAGAGAAGGCAGAAACTGAAGATATGATTCTTCAAGACGATATAAACACTATTGTGCTACATGGTTCCATAACATTAGCTGCAATAAAAAGAAAAGTATAAACAGAAAGTCAACATTCCAGAAGCTAGAACACTTACATGTGTATTGGATTTGGCAAATATCCTATTCTCTGCTGGTATAGGACCAAAAAAAGCTGCATCCTACCAAAAATCTGCACAGAACAAAAGTTAATACCTGAGTGTGCATAATTTGTAGCTGGAAACTGTAACTGCAAAACTTTTATACTAATACTTCAAATAATGAGCAATTCTTACAATATGGGCTAAGTTCCACAAATTGCTGATCGAGGGTGGAACAAATGCTCTTGAACCAAAATTGTTGGAAAGATTCCTGCAGCCAGAGGTGACAAAGATGAGCTGCAGTACATGTTCAGAATCATTGTGACATGATCCCGATTTAATAAATAAACATGGAACGAAAGACCAGGAAATCACCACAGACGTACAGATATTGCAAGTTACAACATCAGCAATGCTGTTACCAAATATACTCTGGCAAGCTAACATCCTGCAATGGTATCATTGGATTAATCAGAAAACAAAATGAAGTATCAAGCATTAACATACTAAAACTTGCGGCCTCAGGTCAACCCGTGACATTACAACATACAACAATGTCAAATTAACATGTTTGCTATTAGTACATAAATTCCACACAAAAACTTAAAAACAGATCAACCATTAAATGTAGATTAATAGAACCGCATTTAATAAGCCATCAGGCCTTAGAGTAGCAAAAAAAACCCCAGCTTTACCAACTCAAAATAGTTTCACCTTCGTCATCTTTTTTCGGCTAGAACTACACAATGAAACACGCCGATCTGACTAAATTACGAATTCAGAGAAAGGATAACCTTATGTACCGAAATCTTTTGGCCTTAATTATGAGATTTATCATCTCGATAGGACTATATGATATCTATTTGAATGGGAAAAAAAAAGAAAAAAGAAAAGGGAACTCCTTTCTTTAGAACAGCATCCACGCATCAAAAGATCTAAGCAAAAGGATAAAGAAGGTTAAGATTAAGCCTACTCTAGTATTAGGTTGTTCTAGTTAAGACATTGCCATAATCAAATGACATTGACTCTAATGCAGCAGCAACTCTAGCACTGGAAATAAATACATTTACCCCAAGAAGCCAGTTCAGGTCGCGTGTCAATAGACATTGATTTGCCAATATCATAAAAAAAACCATTAATTTTTTAGACTGAACAAAGTAAAGAATGCAGAACATTAATTATTATACATCAAAAAAATACAATAGTCTAAACATTTAGGGCCTCCTAATGATTATCAGGACATACCCTTCTTACGCAACTCTGGTCTGTACGCAGAGACTGCGTATTAATGGCCAACTCACGGCATCCACAACATGATTGGAATTCATTGGTACTACTTGGTGGTAAATTCCTCCATGTCTCTCTAGTAACAAAGAAATGTTTTTTTTTTGGGGTCATTGAAAAGAAAGAAATATTAGGCAAAATGAGACACAAGAGGCAGGAAACAGTAGTGAAAAAACCTGCAATGTATCTTGGAGCCATCATTAATAATATTGGAATTGCTCATGTTCATCATCAACCTGCTATGTTACTCAATAGAGAAGACCAAAAAAATGAAAGACTGACCTATATGAATTCAGTTGCTAGCCTTCATTATAAGGGTGCTCAAGAGAGGCGCCGGCTTGTTCCCTGGACAAAGCAATAAAAACACAAATTCAAATAAAAAAAGAAAGAAATAGAATAGAGAACTGAATGCAAAAATATAAGATTTCAAAGTAAATCAACATATAATGATGACTCATAATTTAAAGCTGGCCAATGATTAAATCCGTTCAGGTAGAGATTAAACACCAGACCTGGAAAAAGTAGAGATTATACACCAAATCCAAACCAAAATAGAGATTAAAAAAAAACAAATACTCCATCTGTCCCAAAATTATTGCCCAGTTTAAGATTTCATTTTTAGTACAATTTGAACTAAAAATGAAAACTCAAACTGGACAATAATTATGGGATGGAGGGAGTACAAAATAGAGATTAAAAATAAATAAATACAAACACTGGACACAGAAAGGAAAAGGATTTGGGGCCCAAGAAGAAGAATAGCTTACCCTACAACACTATTTCAGTCTCGAGTTCTTCTGGACTCGATGAAGATGCCTTAGACAAAACTGGCTTTCGTGGCCTTCACTGCTTAGACCCATTAGGCTTCTACACGAGCAAGAATAACCAGCGTCAGTACATCTGAAAAAAAAAGAGAGAAAGAGAGAGAAGTTGGAATCGCCCAATTGAAGAGATGGAATCAAACGCTAAAAGGACCGGATACGTTGATAGCAATCTCGTATATGAAGTAAATTTCGTTAATGTAACCATCAAACAAGAAAGTTCGAAAATAATTTGTCTATCCCGTGAAACTCAAAAGAGTGCGGAAAATTCACAGTAAGACGATCATTTATCTAAGGAATTCTATCTCTTAACTCAAACCAAGCAAAGAACACATAATCTATAAAAATATTCGAATTAAACAACAACCCACACTATGAATAGTAAGGACACCATTCAATATACTTTGATCAGTCATCATTCAAGAGACTCAAGAAAGGTAGGAGCAAATAATGCTCAACTATGAAAGAATACTATTGATTAATAATCTCCATAACCAACAAAGATATGCAACACAGACACTATCTCAAAATGCTTATGCCTAAGCACAACTCATCCAACAAAAAGTAGGATAAACCCCACAAAGGAACTCATGAACACACACATCATGAATTCGAAAACCATAGCCAAAGGAAAGGCTCAACTCTCGAACTACTAGAAGTAGTATGAAAATAAGAAGTTTAATTTTAAAACAATTCTATCAAAAAGCATACTTGAAAAAGAATGGTTTCTGCAAGATCAAAAGATCCAAGACAAGATGAAAATCCTCTTGGTTAAATCATACTTGACACGAAAATTGGACACACCATTTAACAAAAATTCCTCACAAGAAAAACTCTCATTAGAGAAAACTCAAAATGACCACATACGAGTGCTTTAGCTTTCGGCCATATCCCCCCTATTTATAGGCTAGCAATTTCGGCCAAAGCACTAAAAAGAAGACCAACTAGGACTCTCTAATCTTATCTCACGCAGGAGTAGAAGTAGAAAAGTATTTGATCTCTTTGATTCTATCTAAAATCTAAGAAACCTTATGATAATGTTAATATTAGCATGATATTTGTGGTGGTTTATGTGTTGTTTTGAATATTATCTATGCTAATATTAGTGTTTTGGTTCTTAATTTGATCATAGGAAGGATTTGGAATAAAAAGAAGAAAAGTGTTGGTTTGAAAAGTTTTTGAATATTTTATTGAATCAAGTTTCAAGTTGAAGAAGAAGTGGTTGATTCCCGCGTGGGCACACAAAATCCATACCAAAATCAATGAAGGAAGCAGGAAATTCCAGAAAAGACGTTGTATTCTCACGTGGGCACGCTGAAACAGGGACTAAAGTGCAAAATTTCCAAAGTTTTGGAAATAATTTATAATTTTGGCAAACTTCAGGGACCAATATGCAAATTTTATAAAATTGAATTGCCCTCTGCGGATTTTGAAGAGGCTAAACGAAGGCTGCCCTATTAATACCATATGCACGCTTTGCTTTCATTATTAAGAAAGGCAAGAGAAGAGGCACAACACAGGGAGCGACGATTGAATCGCATGAATACCCGGAAAAAAAAAAGAAGGGAAAAATACCCGGAAAAAAAAGAAGAAAAAAAAATCGCATGAATCCCTATTTCCTACTTGTTTAAGAGTATGGAAAGTTCTTAATTATATCTTTGAGATGCCATAGGTTTGTAAATGTAATATGAGAAGTTTACTGCAAGTTCTTATGTAAAGCACACTTAAAGTTTGAGTATGCAAAGCTTGAGGTGTGAGGATGAGCAATGCCATTATATGAGATGTCTGGTAAGATGGTGGAGTTTAAGTATACTTGGTCTATCTTGACAAAATAAGCCTACAACCATATTTATCCACCCGTTTCCTTACCTAAAGCCTACAACCATATTTGACAAAATAAGCCCCATTACAACCCTATGTAAAACCTTTATTGGTAAGTTTATTTGCTTGGTGTATGATGATGTGACGCCTTTTCAAATTCTTGTGTATTCTGCTAGATATTGATTTGTGTGAATTGTTTGATACGCTACACTTGAGAGAAAAGAAGAAAGAAAATGAGTGAACTTACTGGTGAGGTGATTTTGCTCCAATCATTGATGGAGTTTAGGGATGAAGCAACTATCTTGTTGGCTATGCATAGTATTAGAGGAGCTTATGTTTGATTGCCTAATTGATTAAGTTTATGATTGATGTGTGACATGGTGGTTGAGATTGTGTTTTAAATGATTTTCAAATTTTGTGGTTCAAAGTAGTGGTTTGCAAGTTGAGTTAAAAGTTATTCTTTTTAAGTTTGCTTGAGGACAAGCAAAATCTAAGTGTGGGGGAGTTGATAATGTTAATATTAGCATGATATTTGTGGTGGTTTATGTGTTGTTTTGAATATTATCTATGCTAATATTAGTGTTTTGGTTCTTAATTTGATCATAGGAAGGATTTGGAATAAAAAGAAGAAAAGTGTTGAGTTTGAAAAGTTTTTGAATATTTTATTGAATCAAGTTTCAACTTGGAGAAGAAGTGGTTGATTCCCGCGTGAGCACACAAAATCCATGCCAAAATCAATGAAGGAAGTAGGAAAGTCCAGAAACGACGTTGTGTTCCCACGTGGGCACGCTGAAACAGGGACTAAAGTGTAAACTTTTCAAAGTTTTGGGGTCAATTTGTAATTTTGACAAACTTCAGGGACCAATCTGCAAATTTCAGAAAATTGAATTGCCCTCTGCGGATTTTGAAGAGGCTGAACGAAGGCTGCCCTATTAATACCATATGTACGCTTTTTTTTTCATTATTAAGAAAGGGAGGAGAAGAGGCACAACACAGGGAGCGATGACTGGAGCTCAGGATAAGGATTTCTCTCCGTTTTCGTCAGTTTTAGCTCTGTAATGTCAAATATCAATTCTTGTGTGTTGATTTCACCATGATTAGCAACTAAACCTCTTTTCTAGTTAAAAGATTTTATTGAAGTCTTGATGTTATTCAATTGTGAGATCTAACTATTTGGTTTTCACCAACGAATTTTGAGTATTCATTTATTCTCTTTGATGTGTATTGATGATTATTTGGCATTATTTGAATAGATGGTAGCATTCAATTCTCCTAGATAATCTAATTTATTGAACAATAAGGTTTGTTTGTTCCTTATAAGAGACAATGCAAATAATTACTTGGTAAGTAGTTTACTTGTGTTGTGAGAATAAATAATCAATTTTTAATGAAACAAGGTTTGTTTGTTAGAAATTGAATTGGGTCTTTGCTTGTCAAAAACTAAATCCTAGGAGGTTTCAGGTAGTGTTTTTTGGCTATAGAGTGATTAATGAAGGTTTCTTAGTCACTGGTAGTTAAATAAAAAGACTGAGTTATTAGGAGGTTCCAACAACGATAACTAATATATTCATCATTTGTTGAGTTAATCTTTGCATCAATGATCAGTTGGATACATCAAGGTGGAAATTATTCCTTTGACTAGAGTTGCTCTTATTATTGATTTTCCAAAAGTATCTTTTATTGCTTGCAAATTATTTTTGTTATTCATTAGTAACGAATCCAAAATCTCTCCCATTTAGTTACTTTGCTTTTGATTAGAAATATTTTTACTTTCTTGCTCCCTGAGGAGACGACTCTACTCATTGCTATACTACTAAATTTGTTAGGAGTAGAATCTTTTATTTTTGTTGGTTTGACATCTACTACCTTATCTAAATGACTTATGCTCAAATAGGATAATACATAGAAGGAATCTAAGACTCCTAATCAAAACACTCTAGTTTAATTCAGTGCACATGACTTATTTAACTAGATAAAATTTGAAAATAAATTCCTAGACTAGATAATACTCTAATTTTCGAAAATCAGTTCCAAATATTGAAGTAAAATGTCTTGAACGCCCTTCCAAAAGTGAAATATTGGTCTTGCGCCACTCAAGTT